TGTCACTGGCACATCGCATTCCTATGACCGGATTCGAGCAATGTTTATGTCGGCATTCGTTCGTTTCGGACTCGAGCTGGTGATTGCGGATGTGCGGTCGGTTTTTGCTTGGAGAATTCCTAAGGACGCAGTAGCGGTGGGCACGGTCATTCCTACGCCACGAATTGCACTAACTCTGATATACTGCTAGATTTGTCCGAGGGCGGTTCCTTTTGATTTGGAGGGGACGATGAGAGTGACTTGATATTGGCTTCGAGTCCGCTCATGAACCGACGGCGATGGGACTGCGTCCCCGCTGGCTGCGGGCAGAATAGGAAATCCTACACGATCGAGAACGACATCCTATCCCGAAGCTTGGCCAGTAGCCCAGAGATTGCGGAGTTGACGTCGAGAGGTTCATGCCCGGCGGTTCCAACTCGGTGTTGCTTCTTCTTGTTTAGACGGCGTCGGGCAAGTAGGCGACTGCTTGGATGGCGTCAGAGGTAGAATCGGCTTTCTTGGGATACTATAATCGAGGTATAGATCATATAAACGGATTGAGCACTTGGCTGACCGTGGTGCTCCCTTGGTAATGCTGTGTACCTAAGCGTCCTCAGCCGCGGCGCGGGCCGGGGAGGGTGCTGCAGTTCCAAATCAGGCCAAGCCTGGGCACGCATTGCGGGCGACCGCCTACGTATCACAGCAGCAAAATAGCTAGCCACTGCTAAACACTAAGTTGACCGTCTATGAGGACAGCAAAGAGCTGTGCTTGCTTTATGTTCAAGACTGATATCATCCATTCCACCGCTTCGTGGGATAACGACTTCCCCAAATGCAAGGTCGGGGTTCATTCCAGCACAGGTCACTAGGCGCAGGTTTTGTGCGGTCCAGCATGGCTGATATCCGCTCATGCCAGAGGTTGTCTACCTACCTACTCTAGGGACATTGTTTCGCTCTTCCAGTACAGCCAGCACGGCAGTATAGACCGGGCGGACTGACGGACTGACGGACTGGATAGAACGGATGGACAAGACGCACAGCAGGGCCGTTATATCACCTCATCCCCCAACGCCCTTTTATTTCGGCCGCTCGCTGCCCACTGACCATCACCCCTCCATAGCGCCCGCCCATGGGCATGGGCACGAGCGTCAATTCCCCCCACCGTTTGACACCACTTTTATTCCTCGATGGACGGTGTCAATTACCCCGTTCACCTCAAATCCCTTAGAGATCCGCCAGACCTCTCTGAGTCCGCAACAAATGCCGATGCTCTGAGTACGCCCGCGTCAAGCCGTTGGTCTCCCCGCCATCTCTGTCTCCGCACCCGCGGCAGAATGCTCTCAACCAATCTCCGCAGTTTACCTCCAACGGAGACTTCAATCAGCTGCAAACTGTTCCATATCTACTTGTCCGGCCTACTGCTATCCGCCACTCTTCACCCTGACGTTGCCTACCCTGCCCTTTCCCATCCCAGCGATCCTGCACCGACAATCGAGAACCCTCATCCCGGGATCACTCAACGCGAGCATTCCATTTTATCACGACGCCTTTTCTTAGGACGCTCAATTATACTCTCTACAAGAAGCTGGCCGGCGTCATCGGTGCGCTGAGCCTCTCAGCATTAACAGCCTGCCTCCAACCCGGTCCTCTCCACCCCAGAGTCCCGAGTCCGATAAGAATTCCGATTTTCTGAGAGCTAGGTCTGGAGCCCGATCATTATTCCAGTTTGTTGTCTTTCAACTCCCTTCTATTGTTAAGATTCGATAATTGCGCTGCTCTGGCATTAGGGCTAACTTATTATTTTTTTTCTTGACAGGTTTTAAGAGCACAGCGGTCCCCGCCTTGTCCCTTCCAAGACCAGCCCCCGCACAGCAAGTCGCCATATCCTTCCTCCCACCGCAGCTCTTTTCTTGAATTCGGAACCCCTAATATACCAGCCGAGTACAGAGCACAACGTCGCCGTGGAGTGGTCGACGACTTCAGCAAACTCCTTCCATTGTCTCCTCTCATGCATGGGTTAAATACACAAAGTCCCTGTGGTGATTGCTGCACCCCCAAGGCAACCTTTACTTCCGTCCTGAGAAATCCTGCGGGATCGTATCCCCTGCACTTCGGCCAGTCCAGTCAGGATATTGAAGTAAGGCTCTGCGAAAATGGCGACGTGCAGACAACCAAGCAAGGAACAATGCTCGCGGTAGAACGGCGAGAACGATGTTCAAGAGAGGAAGTCCCGGCCAGGACAGTCCCTCGAGAGCGGCTCATGAGCGCAGGTCTGTAGAAGAGCAGGAGATACTGTGAGACGTGATCGTGCTCGTGGAACTGCTTGTGAAACCAGCAGAATGGGGGCTGCATTGGCCGCAACCCTAGGTACCTAACTCCTGTCGATGTCCTACTCGAGACTCCCCGTCCTTGGGCTTGGTCTACAATGTGGCCACTCCGGGTTTGATCTCTAAAGGTACTTAGGTACACACCCGACGTACGCGTCCTTACAAGTCCATCCTCGCCGGATTCCATGGTAAATTTTCCCAACAAGAGGTCTAGCAGCTGTACTACCATTATGATCGCGCGCTACAATTCCCCATCGATACTCTGCTCTGGCTAGAGAAGTGTTTGTACCTAGACAGCACTCGACATACATAGGGAACCCTTTGACAGCTCCGAGATGAATTTCATGCTAGTACACTTTTGGGCGCGGGCTATTAGGTATGTCATTGATTCCTCCCTCTGCTCTATTGTTAATTTCACTCCTCTTCTCCGCATGACGATGTTCCTAGCTTTACAGTATTGACCTTCTAGCGGCTCACTTGCATTTGCGAATCTAGGTAGGGACCGGAGGGACCGATATTCACGCGTTCGGTTGATACCGTTGTTGCTGAGGAATCTATACCGAGATCTCGGGAGTGTGGCTTCACAGGCCGGGCGTGGAGGATTCACGGTCCGGTTGAGCGTCAATACGCTGAACCAGGGTCCCTGGTGGGTTGACTGCTTAACATTGTGATTGCCGCTGTGTTCGCTCGAGGCTCTGGTATTTGTGGATGATCTTTTACCTGGACTTGACGCGTGGGGTCAGCATTCGGTCTCAATGAATAGCCGAGGAATAAACCAGGGTCGTCTCTCTACTGCTTGGACTTCATCCTCGAGATCATTAGTACTTGATGCAAGGTCGGCTCTCGTCTCATTCCGGGATTTGATCAAGCCCACTGGGGCGAATGGTGGTGCTGATCCTGCTGGTCTCTCCCTCGTCGACATTCTCAGTAGGTTTCTGATATCTTGAGCTGGATTGGTAAGGTTCTTGATAGCTGGCCTCAGCTGATCCAGAAGCACCATAATCATACCTGGGACACATTGTTCCTCCTCAGGATGCGGATGAATGCATGCGAGTCACATACTGTTGCTGTTAGTGGAATTCGTGTGTGTCCCTGCACACCGCCGCCGGCCGGGGCCGGAATGGGGACGATGAACGCATTGACTGGTTCCCATGGACCCTGAGGCCGCGTCGGGGCCTAGTCGTGATGGAGGCTGCTGCGAGCATTCAATCAAACTTGCTCCCTCGTCTCAACACGTTCTATATGCGAAAGCGGACCTTTTGCGAGTCTGCAGAGGGTGGAGGACCGCCATTCACTCTTGGCAGGCCTACCGTATCGGATGTTATGGCTCTGAGATTCTCCTTGTTCCCAGAGTAGACTACTGCCGCTTCTTGCGCACGGACTTGAGTTGTTCGAGTCTTTGAGGGCTCATCTTCCGTTGGGCTTTCCAGAATGGCTGGGAACTAGAGGGTTGTGGGGGCGGCAATATCAAAATTGAAAGCATCGTGGCACAAAGATGGCCGGGGCATGGATGACGACATATCAAAATGATGATGTTGATTCGAACAGAGATATGGCTATTACTACTAGTGTCGAGTTTCCGTCCAAATCTGCTTTCAGTTAGTCCGGCCCGCCCCGTATTCACTTTGCCAGCAGGCGAACCGGTTGCCTGCTTCTGTCAGGTCGTAAAGACATCCCCAGCGGCAAACAAGCAGCAGATCAGTCGCACAGCAGGTCCGCCCAGCGATAATGTAATATTTGCCAATACGCCACTACTAGTAATAGGATACACCCAGCTAGTATCCTGCATGACATTACCTACGCTCGTCCTTTGGCGAGCCTGCTGCTTGATCCGGTATAGTGCAACTTCGGACCCCCGGAGTGTCAGCTGAACAAATGCTCAGCACCTGCCCAAGTGGCGTAAGCGAACCCCATTTCTGAGAGCCGGTAGGTACTGTATTTGCGCTGTCAAGGGCGGTAGAGCTTGCGGGAGTCATTCTCCAGAAGCAGCCCCGGATATAACGATATGACTGGGCATCTAGGTTATTTTGACACAAAAGAGGGGCGCGTCATTGACGGGGCGTGACGAGTTCGCTATTCTCTGAGGCGGGGCTTGACCAGATACAAAACAAAGCATCAAGTCAAACATTTTGTTTCCAAATATCCACCTAGAGCGGGTCTCTGAATGTGTGGCTTTCTCTATCTAGAGAAAGAAAAAAAGGAAATACTTCCACTCCAGCATCCGACAGGGAACAGGATGGCGGCTTCGACATGATTTGCACGCCGGCGGTCCAGCAATCATTGGGTCAAAGGTCTGCGAGAAGGAAGTGGATGGGCCACTACCGACGACGTACATCTACATCCTGGTCAGATCAAGTTTGAGGATGATACCTAGGTATGTTTGCCTGCACGCAAGAGAGGATTTGCCAAATCGTCCTGCCAAGGAAGCCAGACCGTGATGAGGTCTGCCTGCAGCAAGCCGTATCACCGGACTCCTGAATTTCACGTTAAATAAAGAGTATAGAACGCCGTGACAATCTGTAACTTGCTAGTTGTTAAACAGCCCGCATTTCACAGGAAGCTGCGCCTGTTTCCGCCTTACTTCTCAATCCCACCGCGAACTCACCTGCTCGCGCCTCAGCGCAAAGAACCTGCTGCTCGGTGCTTTTCATTTTATCTGGCTGAAAGCACACATCAAGCGCAACGCTCGCCGACATGACTGGAGCGCAATCGGCTCGGACGTCGCAGAGACAGAGGGCGTGGACGGAAGAGGAACGGACTCACCTGCGGGAGTTGAAGGAAGAACATCCAGACGCTACGTGGAAATCAATCACCGATGTATGTTCACCAAGTGACAGTCATTCTCCACCAAATTTATCTTTCTCTTCATGAGCTTACATCTGCATAGTTAGGCGGGTTAAGCGAAGGAGCCTCGCGGGCTGTTTTGCAAATGCGGTCAGGATCTAGAGAGGAAAATGAGGAGGACTATCATGTTGGTGATGGCGGAGACAACTGGAACGGTCACCGCAGGCAGTGGGGTCAGGTACGTGTCACCGATATATCTATCACAGCTTTAAAGATACTGAAATGCCTTGAGCGACAGTTGCGGTTACCGCAGTCCCAAAATCGACAAGGACGCGACCTGCCTTTGAGGGACGACCCAGACGCGCTCCGTCAACGAGTTGAGCAACTTGAGCGGCAGCTTGAATCGGAGACAACCGCACGAAACAACGCAGAGGAGAACGTTCGCTCGCTCGCCCAAATAGCTGACTCGTTCCGGCTAGAACTCGAGTGGTTCGTGGGGCTAGTGGGCGAGCCTAAACCGAGTGCTGAGACGGCGAAGAAGGCACGTTCGTTATAGTCAGAATAACGCCGGCGACTGGAAAGATGCTCAACGGAATATTGGGCGCCTCGACGAACACATCGAATCGGTCTCTCTAGCACAAAGGATGGTTGCAAGTTCACGGAGCAGGATTCATGGGATTGGGTTTTGATGATGGCACCGGGGCCTCGACTGTGTTCCATTCTCATATGTCCCCATTCCAGTTGACGGATCGGGTCTGGCGTTTTTGATCTCGGACTATCGTGGAGTTGCCGTCGTAGAGCTCCCCTGTCAAGCGTTGGCTCTTCAATTCGTTCGAAGGATTGCGGAAGGTAGAGTCCGGGGCTCACAAGGGTGGCTAGATCTGGAATCGTTGTCATCTTATGGCTGTAATAAGGCAGATAACAACCACACGGAATAGAATGATTCTAAAGTCGCAGGGTAACTGGAGACTTTGTGTGTGTTAAGGCAGAATCGCCGCTGAATCGAATAGAGGATATTGCGGCCTTTATCTTGAGGCTCCCACGCAACTTTGGATGGTCACGTGCGATGCCAAACGGTCATCGCCGTCCCAAGTCCCCAGCAGTCAAACACAAGCCCAAATCTTACCGAACTCCATCCACTCGAAATTCTCAAAGAACCAACGGTATGGGTGCCCCAGGAGCGATGTGAATTATCTTTGAGAGATTTAGCTACTAACAACCTTCTGTGACCAGAACCTACAGGTGCAACGATAGAGGAAGTTGTCTGAGATAGCATAGGTATGGAGGAGCTGCACCCAAGCCTACTCCTCCTTCTCCAGCTCTCAGATTCCAAGCCGGCATCAACCAAACGCCTGTTTCATATTTTGTCAAGACGTCGTTCAAGTTCCCGACAAAGATTGCCTCTCCATGCCGGTCACAAACGCGTCTATCCCTCTCTCCCGCGTCCCAAAATCTGTGCAACAGGCGGAGCAGCGCTGCGGCCAAAGTTCGTTCAAGCGGCCTAATCCAAAGCCCGTTACACCACCGTATATCTCACGTCTCAGAAGCGACACCTGGTCGACCGCAAAAGCCTCAAGATACACCATCATATAACACCCGGTCAGATCGTCACGTTGCACTGGTATATCTACCGGCCCGGCTTCGAACCATTCAATAATACCGGCTTTCCCAACCGGGCTTTCTTGAATCCAAAGCGGAGATGGCGCCTGTTCCAGAACCGTGGCATATGTTTTTAAATTGCAGGACAATCGCGAGAAACCAGTGGTCCTGCTCGTCGGTATCGAGAGTAACTACAAGATAATCACATCCGGTAACGTTTCCGCTCTCAATGCTTTGCTGGTGCTGTACATGTCTCCACCCTCTTGGAGAAATCCTACTGGCTCAGGGCGGAAAAGGAATGCCTTCCAGGAAGAGTGACTAACAGATATCTAAGCTTGGAGGTAGTTGGAGAAGAACTGAACAATGGCGTTGTTGAGATGTCCTTGTAGCCTCATAACCTCAATGTCCGCGGATACAATGCACACCCCGAAAATAGATCCTCTTTTGGTGGACGCTAGGAGATGCTGCGCGTCATTGTTATTCTCCTGGCCATCACCCACTGCCGGTCCCCTAGAAACGAGAAGCAGAGTTTTCAACTGGGTCACATTGTGAGTCACCGCCACTCTCTCGATCAGGATCAACATTTGTGGTCTTATCGTGCTCGTCAGTGATTTCCAGCGGTGATGCTCCACTAACCTGCTCCCGCATCGCGTCGAGTTGAGTTAGCTTCGAAATAGAGGGCTTGGGCAGTGGTGCTACTGCTATGTATTAAAGTAGGAGCTTTTTGACGGTTTTACGGTGCTCACGCTTGGTACGACTACTCCTTAAGCAATCTTTCTTCATTGTAATACAAGTTTGTTAAGGCGAAAGACCAACCTCCACCCTGCTCTCGAAGTTACGAGCAACAGCGTCCAGGGACGTCAAGGTGACACGTGAATGCCCCTCGGCTGCAGCGATGGGGCTTGCGGCAGTATTCTCCTTGGACTGAGAGAATATGGCCCACCTGGTCCGTCAAGATGTAGCAGTAAAATCACAATCCTGACTGTATACCGGCACACAGTTTGCCGGGAACCCAAAGTCAAACCCGATAAATTCTGACAAGGGTAGAATCATCATGAAGAGAGCCGTACTCATGGGCCCCTAGGAGAAATGAGGGGTAAAGGCGCAAGATGCGCCCTGGTCGCATCTCTTACAGACAGGCAGAGATCAACAAAAATGGCTTACCCAATCGAACGGTGCCAACAAGTCCTTTTTGTGCGGGTGATAGCGGTTTGGAAAGATTGTCCTTACTTCAAAATACGCGCCTAGAAAGTAAAATATCAGAACTCCTCGGAAATTTTCGATCTGGGTCGGATGCGCCATACGCAATACGCTGGCTGTGGCTGGGGTACATAATAACCAGACACGCACTCCTGTCTTCCCCATCTTCTGTTGGCAGAATAATCTCCCAAAACCTGGACTCCGTCTATCCATCATTTATGCTGGAGGTTTGGTAGTCAACAGCGACTCCGGAAGCTCAAATACCTACGCATTGCCGCTGAGTCACTTGAATCGGGTAAGGACCTACGATCTCTCTGGCGTTGATTGGAGCTTGTGATAGTCGTGCTCCTCTTACGATTCAAAAAGCAGAAAGGCTTTTTCGCAACCCAGACCATCGAGGAGTAAGGTGTCATGGCGAGACACAAAACAATATGGCCAGTCTCGATCGATTGTTGAAGCGTAAGCGCTCTCCGAGGCTCGGTTGTGCTTCGCCTACGACGCGCCCCTCCATATACTTGGACCAGGAACATGGCGACTACCACAGAACCGTTATCGAGGAGACTGACACGGAAAGCGACGACGATCCTGGCGATATATACCACGAGGATGAGATCGCTAAGAGCAGGGGTGGCTCTACCGACGCCGAAAGGACAAATTGCGATAAAAGCTCGGACAAACATAGTGGCGAGGAGGGACAGGTCAGTGTGGAATGCTGATAGATACTTATATTGGCTAACGAGGATCTTATCAGAACGAGTCCCAAGATCCTAGCTGGACGAATCGCCCTCGTGCGCGGACTGGGTCTAATCACTCTGAGCCGGAGGAGGAGCAAGAAGCCTTTACCAGACAAAGTCCGCCGTTGACCATCAGATCACGGACCACAAACACAGGAAAAGCTCCCTCAGTTGCCAGGGGTTCTTCTGACCCGCCGAACGGCGGCCCACGTACCGAACCGGCGGCCCCATTCGCGGCTGCACCCGAGACTCCGACCCGCCATGCACACCCACAGCTGTACGCTGATACACCGTCTTCCGACAGCTCGTCTCCCGAAGGGCGACAATTGTCCCGCCAGTTGGGAGCCTTCGAGGGGGAAGAGGAAGTCCGTCAACTACGCCGACCCTCAAGCGGTGCAAGATTCCGATCACTGTTGTCCACTGAGGAAGTTGAACAGTTGAGTCGCGGTCTGAAAGAAGCCGGCAAAATCATCAAACTCGTTGGAGGAGAAAACAAAGCTCTGGTCGATGAACTGAATGCAATTCGCAAGGAAAACTTGTATTTGCAAGAATGTAATCAAAGGGATGCGGATAAGCTTCTTGCGGAAAAGAAGGCAAAGGAGACTTGCCTAAAGGAGAAAGAAGAACTTGAAAGGCACGCAATAGTCATTATGAAGGAGCTCGAGAAGATCCGCGTGAAGTGGGACAAGGTCAAAGAGGAGAGAAGAAAAAATAAAGAGGATCAAAGGAAGAATAAGGAGGAGTGGGACAAGGCTAGAGAGGAGAGGAGGAAAAATGCGGAAGATCAAAGAAAAGTTGAGGAGGCTGTGGAAAGGATGCTGTCAATGGTTGCCTCTTTCCGGCATGAGAAGATGTAGTTGCTGAGTATTTGCAGCAGCTACCATTTGGCTTCTTTACCATGTCTATGAATCTAGGCCTATTAAGGTTATCTTCGAGGTTATTTTATCCCAATCTTTCATCATCTAGCACCCGGGACAAGGCCCCATCCACCGCATTTAATACGCTCCGCAGAGCCAGAGTGGCATCATATATACCTATCTCTCGTTCCATATTGGACAGCACCAGGGTCTGGTAGAAATACCAATGGTGCCAGATCCATTAAGCTGCCAGATCCTTTATGCCTGATGGGCAAGCGAATCCTTCCGCTCACTCTTGTTCAAAACTAGAGGGTGGGCCAGTGAGTACCATTGCAGAAGAAATTTCATCGTGGGCAGGCACTGCATTCATCGCGCCCGGCGGCGCGAGCGTGACGGACCGGGCCCATAGAACAAACTGCCCATGAGGGTCAACCGGTTGGAACAAACACTTTTTCTCTGGGTCTGGTTTCGCTGCAGAAACTCCAGGCTGGAGATCTTCACTGGCCTGGAAGGAATATCTCGTTCAGGCATTATACTAGTCTTAGGGTACTCCGGTATCTTGAGTAATATTATTTATAGGTAACAAATATCACAATATATACTTTCAGGAGCAGGGCAATATCTTTAACGATAATACTATATATACAATATTTTTAAGTTCCCTGGTCTTAAATTGTCTGCTGCTTACTGTTGCTTTATTCGTTTTGGTCCAGGAGCATATCTTTAGATCTGGTCTCTCAAACGGCCTTCTGTAATGAGGTGGCTAACTGTCCGGCCCCTCGCCCTCCGCTCTTGAACCATAATGACACCGATAATAGACGCAATGACGAGCCCAAGCTGGCTAGAAAGTCGTAGCCTGTGAATGGACATCAGAATAATGTCCCAGCCAGAATTTACAACGGACTCACGAAAAGATGCGGCCATGGTCTGCGGAAAGATGACAATCGGCAGCCATGCGGCGACGGCGTACTGGAACCCGCTCATGCTGATGATGACCACCGCCCGCTGCTCGTTGTTGTCGGCGCAGTCTTCGTTTGCCCATGAGTAGCTATCAACGTCAGGGATTACACATCAACGGACTACGTAGGTGACATACAAGACAGCCGTCATGAGCTGAGCTCCGATGGTCAGGAAAGCAAACTCCTTCAATGCAAGGCTGGAAGGCCAAAAGGCAAGTATTCCATTCGGCAGGAGGCGGTATATCTTTACATATACCGCGGTGAAAAACATGGTCATGCAATTTTACAGAATTTGTAGACTCACCCTGCACCAATGGGATGAGCACAAAGGCAAATCGACTCGCCGTCTAATCGGACAAAATCCCCCAGAGGACGACGCAGGTGGCAGAGATGAGATTGGCCCCGGTTGGAATGACATTGCTTTCCGCAACAGGGAAGCTCTCCGACTTCAGCCAGATGTCAAAGTATCCATTCCCGCCGCAAGACGATCCATACAGCTGCTCAACATCATTAGCCCTCGAAATCATCAATGAGTGCGATGGAAGGGTACTTACCATCCCGCTGTTGGCTGGTTCGGGAATATAGTTGCGCCAGGTTAGATCCAGCATATTAACTCTAGTTATATAAAGTGCTTTGTAATATATATTTTATTAAAGTAAAATAAAAATACATGTTAATTTTTAAGTTATATTAATAAAGTAAATTTATAGTATAAAGTGGTTATATTATATTTATAATAAATATATATAATTATTACTATAAATTACTAGGTAAATATAATTTAATAATAATAAATATAGGTTTACTAGGTTATATATTTATAAATAAAGTTTATATTTAGGTTAATTTATTACTATTTATTAAACCTGTTATTAAAATTATTTATATTACTAAGGTTATAATATATCTTAAAAATTATATTATAAATATTATAGATGTAAATTACAGGTAATTTTATATATTATATATAATATAAATTAATATTAATATAGTATAATTACTACTAGTAATATATAGTTACCTAAAGTTTATATACTATAAAAGTAGTGCTTAATAAGTTAGTTTAATAATTTTAATTTAGTATTATTTATTATTTAGGCTAATTATATAAATTATAAGATATTATTACAGGATTAAAATAAATATAAATATAGGTGGAAATATTAATTTAATATTAATATTAATGTTAATATTTAATACTAATAAAAATTTAAGATATTAAGGGCCCGTGTGCCGCTATTTAAGTTAATCCTAGCTTATTAAGCTAATGCTAAGTTAAAAGCTATTAATATAATTACTAAAAAAACCCTATATTATTAATAAAAACTTATTAAGATTATTATACTACAAGTAATTAGTTAAAATTACTATTTATTATTATATATTATATATTAAGTTTAAAATGCTATAAAACACTATTTTTAAACACAAGCTTATATTTAAAAAAGGCGTTCCGCGTGATATTAATAAAAAATAAGTTAATATATTATTAAATTACTATTATATTACCCTGTACTAAGTTTGCATGTTCTTAAATAATATATAAAAAATTTATAAAAGTAATAATAAATTTATAAATATATAAGTAGCTAAGTCTTAGTAAAATTAGCTTTTTATATAATTTAGGTATATTTTTAATACCTTAGGATATTTTTATATATTTTATAAAATATTTTTTTTTTAATTATAGTATATATTTAAAGGCCGGTAAAAATTAATAAGGTTATAATAAGTAGGGTAACTAAGGTTATAAAAAAGTTAGTTAATATAGTAAAATTATTTATTATTTATATAAACTTACCTTATAAAGCAGTTTTATAATTTTAATAAGTTAATATTATAAAAGGTTAGTTAGCATGGTAAAACCATTTATTATTTATATAAACTTATCTTATAAAGCAGTCTTATAACCTTAATAAGTAAAGGTAAGTTTATTTATAGTAATTTACCTTGTAAAAACAGCAAGTGCCATAACTTAGTATTTAATTTAAAAAATAAAGTAAAAATAACTTATTAAATATTAGGATAGTATTAGGTACATGTATTTAAATAAAAAAATAAGTTAATAATACCTTTTATAAGTAATAAGTATATAAAAGCTTACTAAAATAAATTATATTATATAGTTAACTTACTATTTTAATTAAAAGCATAATTAGTAATAAAAACCACTAGTAAAAGTAGGCATAGCATACTTAATACACTAAAATTAAATTATAAAACACCTGGAGTCCTACTATATTAGTATAGACAAGTTAATAACTATTATATAAATTTATAAACTAGTAAAGTGTACCACTATTTATTATACCTAAGTTAAATCTTTATTATTATTTATTATTTATATTATTATCTGTATTATTATCCACTGGGCAGCATTTTTAATATTATTTATATTATTTTTAGTATTACCCTTGGTATTACCCTTAGTATTATTAATACTTAGGTAATATTAATATTATTCTTAGTATTATTTTATTTACTAGGCAGTATATTCTAGGTTAGTATTATTTATATTATTTTTAGCATTACCCTTGGTATTATTTTATTTATTATTATAGCTTAATTAATATTTTTAAAGTGTTTATAAAGTAGCTATTAAGTATTAAGTTTTTTAGGGTTTTTAATTTATTACCATAATCTACTTTTTTTATTTTTTATTATGTTATTACCCTATTACAAAATTAAAAAATAACCTTGGGATATTTAGCTTATTTTTTAATATTATAAAAAAATTAAAAACATGTTTAGGGGTGTTTATTTATATTTTTACTTAAATTAAATTATATAATTTTTATATAAATAAAGTAGTACTGTAAAAGGGCTAAAACTTAAATTTTTATAATAAAAATTTATTAGCTTATTTATTTTTTTAATACTTTGTTTACTGCCTAAATAAAGTTAACTTAGCTTTTAATTTTTAAATAAGTTAAAATATTTATTATTATTACAGGGATTTTAAAGGCGGTTAGCTACTGCTAAATACTAAAATATAAGCTAGGTTTAAACTAGGTGCTTTTAAAGGTAGGTAAATAAAAAATCTAGGATTTTAGTTAAAAATATTATAAAAATTAATATTATAATAAAAAATTAAGGCCTAAATAAAGCCTAGTAAAAAAAAAAATATACCTAGTAGTACTTAGTAATATATACTAATACTTACTTAAAAGTTTTAATTATTAAAATATATTTAGTAATAATATGCTAGGGTGTTTTTAAGTATTAAAAAAAATAGCTATAAATAGCTATAAATAAACTTAGGTATAGCTAAAAAATTTTTTAAAATTATTTTTAAAGTTAATAGGTGTAATTAGGCTGTAAGTAAAATAAGGGTAAATAAAAAAAATAACCTTAGTTATTATAAAAAAAGGTATATAATTTATATTAATTTTAGGGTTAGCAAGGCCTTTTTTAAAGGTATAAAATTTTATATAGGCTTGCTACCTAATTTTATATATTTTTAAAATTTAAAAAAAAAAGTAAAAGGGTACCCTTACTTTTTACCTTGCTAGTTAAATTTTATATATTTTATTATGCTTAAGTTTATAAATTTAATTAAGCTTTTTCTCGCGGGGCTTAAACTTAAAAAGGTTTATATAATAAATTTAATTTTTATAATATACAAGGGCAAAGTTTAATAAACTACCTAAGTTATATTAGCTAGTATAAATAAAACTATAATTATTATATATATTTATTTTATAGCATCTTGTCCCCCGGTTATTAAATTAAGTTTAATTTATTTATATTAAATTATATTAATAATTATTATATTTATATTTATGTCCTTTTAAGTTACTACTATATTTCTAGCTAAAAAAACTTTATATTTTAATTATAATATATTATTATAGTGTCCATAATGCTAGCTGCTAATAGCAAGCTATTTATAGTAAATTAAAGTAGCGCTACTAATAATATGTTTAAAACTAAAACTAAATAATAAAATACTATTTTAATAAACTAAAGGCTAATTATAATCTTTTTTTTAAATTTTTATATATAAAATAAATTTAAAATAATATCACGCGGGATATATTAATATAAAATTACTAGTATAAAAAGCGCGAATACTTGCTATTTTTTATTTACAAGCTAATAAGTAAAAAATAATTTAATTTATTTTATAAAAGCTTTTTAGTATATAATAATACTACCTTATTAAAACATATATTACCTGCCCCTAAAAGCATTAAAAATAAATTAATAAAGGTACTTAAAGTAAATAATATTATATAAGAGCAAAAGTCCATGGCTAGAAATAATATTAAAAGGTAAAAATAAAATAAAAAAAAAAAATAAAATAAAGCTAATTATTACTTATTACATGCTTATAGCAACCCGCCTGTATTATTAGGTATTATTTAGTATTTTTATAAAAGGTGGGAATTTATATTTAGTATAATATACTAAGTAAATACTATTAATAAACTAATAAAGTTTTAATACCTAATAAAGCTATTTTAAAATACTTATTTAAGCCTGCACCTTGCTGCTAGGTATAATAAATAATAATAAAATATTTTTATAAAAAAGTAAATTTAATAATAATATTAGGTTAAAGTACCCCAAGCCTTTTTTTTTATTATCCCTGTTTTTTTTTAATAGCTTAAAACTAAGTAGCTATATTATTTTAAAAACTATTAAATAGCACTGCGCGAGATTTTAAAGTTTTAAAGTTAAAATATTATTATTTTTTATTATATTATTAAAAAAAAGTTATATAAATATAAAAAGGTATTTATTAAAAAGTAGATTTTGTTTAGGTTCGCGGTAATTTATATAATAAACTTAATTTTTAAATACCCTAAAAATAGTAACTTGTTAGTCTTTATTTTTAATACACGTAAAAATAACATTTAGTTAGGTAATTTAAAATACTTATATATAAAATAAGTAAAAAAGTTAAAATATAAAATTTAATATAAACAGGAATATTAAAAGTTAAAAATATTAATTTTTACTATTAATATAAAATAAAATAAAAGACTTAAATTTAAAATAAAAAACTAAAATAAACTAAAAGTGCTAAGTAACTATAAATTATATAAACTTACTTATTTTTATATTTTTTAGTAAGAATATTATTATTTTATAAAATTATATACTTAGTAAACTGCGCGGGATAATAAAGTCCTATATATATATTAA